GTGTGTGTTTTAGGGGTTTACATAAAACTTTTATTTGGCTTCTTTTATTCAGCGTAATTATTTTGAGATTCATCTGTGTTGTGTTTATCCTCTTTAATGCTGAGTATTATTCCATTTCATTTGTATGGATACACCTCAACTTACTGGTCCATTTACCTGTGGGTCGGTTAAAACAACTTGCTCATGCTTTTGAGGGTGAGCTAGGAGTTGCTGATCCAGATTTGAATTGGCCTCAAGCAGTAGGCTGGGTCTAATTTTGCTCCATGTGACCCTCCTCTTCCTTGGACCGACATACCAGCCACAGAACATTATTCCCTTGGCAACGACAGAAGCACAAGTAGGCGAGTCCCACTGCACAAGCCTATTTCATACCTTTTTTTTCAAGGTGGCCACAAACACCCCATTTGCTAATACCTGTCACATGGCCAAGCCCAGTATCCGTACCAGAGCCTTATACCCCGAAGTGAGGCTGTCCTCACTGGTCACCGCCGGGGATAACTGGCCAGGGTGGAGGCTTTGCCTGTCTTCAGCTGGGGAATTTCCAAACCTGAAATTGCCCTGTTTGGACAGACATAGCAATAGATTGGCCATGAGAGTCCTCTGCGTCTGCCCCTTCCCATCTGCCAGGGCCAGGCTGGTACATGATGTGTTTTTCACTCTGTGACAGACTAGGGTGTCCCTTTCTGAAGGGAGACGGAGGAAGTGAAGGGAGTTGGGCACAGAATTTTGCTAATACAGCCCGTGGAGGCTATGCCAAAACAGAGGCTGGGATTCTGCGGTCCACTGGTTCTTAGGTTTGTTCAAGAAGCCAGGCTAGATGCTGGGGAGACCCAGGCAAGTCAGACAGAGTCCCTGCCCATGCGTGAGGCACTAGCTGTGCAGCAGAGGAGGTGGACCCATAAACAGACCGCTGAGGGAGCTGTGAGGGTGGTGACAGACGTGCTCTGGGTTTTGTGGGATGACGGACGGAGGGCTGGGGAAGGGAGAGGCTCCTCCATCATCAGAGACGTTAAGAGGGAGCCGTCCCAGCAAGACCAGCCACAGAGTCTGTTTCTAAAGTCCACTGATAAATGACTCAAAACAGTATTTTCAAGTTTCTACCATTTGCCAAACACTCTTCTGGGTGCTGGGGACTGCCTTTTGTTATCATAGCAACTGGAGCTTGTATTATCATTGGAATATGTTGATGATGATGTCAGCCTTCCTCTGGCACGACCAAAGCACTGGCCATCTGGAAAGGCAGGACACTTGGATGCCCTTGGACCTGGGCAAGAGTCGGGGGGGGGGACAGGCTTTAGAGAGCCTCAAATCAATTATCCCTAAAATACCCTCTATAGTTGGTTTTCTAAATTAGGATCCACGGCCCAATCTGCTTACACCCGTAAATCTTTTTAAATTTAGAACAGTTCCTATTTTCCTAATGTGAACTGACGGGACTAAACTATTGTCCTGTAGAACATTCTACCGTCTGGATTTGTCTGCTTCCTTGTCGTGAATTTAGCTGGTCCTTTTGTCTTCTTTCCCCCCATGTCTCACACACCTCACTCAGTAACTCAGACGGATCAAGCAGCCCCCCTCCCCCACAAAGCTTTATGAGGATAGAGAAATGAGAATTACGGAATTACAGGTGTCACTTCAGGGAATTTCTAGAACATTTCACCAAGTAACTGGAGATACGACATTCTTGGAACATTTATGCAAATTGACCATTTAGCTCATCAAAAAGCAATGTTTGGTTAATGTCAGAAAAGCTCGATTGAACAAATAATATTTTCTGACCACCATGTACTTCAAGAAGAATAAAAAATAGAAATAAAAAGCCCTCTTTAACTAATTCATGAATAAAAAGAATAGATTTTAGAATATGCTTAGAAAAGAATAATGAAAATTCCACATATCAGAACATATGGGAGGCTTCTGTGAGATTCAAAGGGCTGAAAATCAATAAGCCAAACATTCAACACAAGAAATTAGCAACAGAACAGCTGAATAAACTCAAAGAAAGTAGGAAATGTAAAAGAACAGAAGTAAATGAAACAGAAAACATCTATAAAGTAGATGTGACTAATCAAGCCAAGTTCTTTAATATCCAAATTTATTAGAAATATATTATATATAAAATAATATATAAGATAAAATTCAAATTTCCTAGAAAAGACTGATGAATAAAATGGGCAAACCTCTTGCCAGTCTAACTAGGAAACAGAGAGGTGGCAGCCATAAACCACTGAAAGGAATTGAAAGGAAATACGACTTCAGGTGAAGAATAAATTAAAAATATAATAAGAGGATATTAAGAGCATTTTTTGGCCAATACTTTAAAATAACATCAAATTTTGAAAATTTAAATCAAGTGTGCACAATTTTCTACACTTAAAAGTAATACAATTTGACTTTAAAAGAAATAAAAAATATGAACAATGTTGTAACTACTTAAAAATTGAATTGGTGATCAAAAATCTTGATATCAAAGAAATATCAGAACCAGACTTTAAAAAGAAACACACAAAAACGGGGGGTTTCACCAAACATTTTAAGACTGAATAATTTCAATCTAACACAAGTTCTTCCAGAGAGCAGGAGAAACACCAATGCCCCCCAACTCATTTTTTATGAAGTTGGCTTGGTATCTAAGCCAAAAACTGTTGAAGAAAGGGAAATATAGGCCAATCTTTTTCATAAACAAAATGTCAGCAAATTGAATCCAACGATACAGATGAAAGATACTATATCATGACCAACTTTGATTTGTCCCTGGAATGCATTGGAAAATCAAGTAATGTAATTCATCACATTAACAGATAAAAGGAGAAAAACCATACAATCATGATTTGTATGCCAGCATATGTCTAATTTGGTTAATGTTCCATGTGCACTTGCAAAAGTGTATATTTTAGTTTTGGGATACAGTGTTCTATAAACATCAATTAAATTGGTTGATAGCATTGTTCAAATCTATATATGTACTGATTGTTTTTCAGTCTACTTGTTCTATCAATTTTTGGGAATGGAATAATAAAATCTCTAATTCTAATTGTGTATTTTTTCTATTTTCCTTTTAGTTTTTTAATCAACATTTGTGAGTGTAGCTAAAGCAATGCTTAGAGGAAATGTATAGCTTTAAATGCTATATATATATTGGAAAAGGAAAAATGGCTTAAAATCAATAATCTAAGTTTCTACTTTAAGAATTAAAAAAAAAAAGCAAATTAAACCCGAGATATGTAGAAGGAAGAAAATAATAAAGATGAGAGTGAGGGGAAAGTTAAAAAAGAAAACAGACAAGTGATAAAAAAAATCTACAAAGCTCGAAGTTGGTTCTTTAAGGTGAATAATAAAGTTTTGACTCAAAATACAACACTGAATAACAATAACATATAATCAAAGAGGGGTAAATTGGTGTTAAACTGTTCTGTTTCTTGAATTATTCAGGAGGGGGCAGAATAAGATATCGCTTAATTTTAGACTTTGGTAGTCATATATGCATAGTAAAATTCACAGATTATCACTAAAAAGAAAAGAAATTGAATATATAAAATCCAGAGAATACAGGAAGTAGGAAATACAAACAGAAATAGAAAACAAGAATAGGAAAAACAAACAAAGGAAAGCTCAATTGGTTAAAAAAAAAAAAGCCAAGAAAAAATAATAAAGAAGCATCAAAAAGAAAATGCAATGAGGAAAAAGAAGAAGATTATAGAAATAAGTCCAAATATAATAACAATCACAGACGTAAATGGACTAAACACACCAGATAAACACAGAGATTTTCAAAATGGATTAACCACATTCCCTTCTAGCTATCTAAGAGATAGAGTCAAAGCAAGAGGGTATAGAAAACTTGAAAATAAAAAGATAAAGAAGTGCACAAAATAAAGCTATTTTAATTAAATTAACACCAGAGAAAATATTCTTGAAAGAAAAGCCATTGCTAAGGATAGAGAAGGTACCTACATAATAATAAAATATTTAACTCACCGAGAAGATAAAGCAATTCAAAACTTATATGCATCTTATAACACTTAAAAATGAATAAAGCAAAAATGGACAGACCAGCAACAAGAGTTTGACCAATCCACCACCACTGTGTGTGTGTACAAAACCCTGTAAGAGGGTAGATTTGAAATACAGTTAACAAGTATAATTGAATGCTCATTTATAGAATTTTTTTGCAAAAGAATTAGAGAATATACATTTACTTCAGGCTCCCATGGAATATTAGTGAAAACTGACCATATGTTATGCTACAAAGCAAGTCTCAACAAATATCAAAGGTTAAAATTATACAGATCATCTTCTATGATTATATTGTATGAATTATAATAGATAATAAATTATTACTATGTTTAGAAATTAGATTCTCATGTTTATATAATCCGTTAGTCAAAGATGAATTTTAACATTAAACTGAAAGATAATACTGAAAATATCACATATTAAAACTTGTGGCATTCAGTTAAAATCGTATTTAGAAGGAAGTTTAAAGCCTTAATTTCATATTTGGAAAATAAGAAAGACTACAAATTTATGATTTACCCAACCATCTAAAGAAGTTAGAAAAAATGCAGCAAAACAAACCCAAAGAAAGGGAAGGAAAAAATAATAAAGGGTGGGAAACTGATGCAAGAGAAAATCAACATACAGTAGAGCAGATGAACAAAGAGAACAATTAAGTCTTTAAAAATACCAATGAACTTGGTAAACTTCTGCTGAGATTGATCAAGAGAAAGCGGGAAGGTACAAAAAATATAACATCAAGAATGAATAAAGGAGGATGAAATTCTACATGTTGCAGATATCTATCAAATAATAATGCGGTATGATGAACAAATTTATACCAACATATTTGAAATTTTATACTGGACAAATTCTTAGAAAAATATAACTTACTAACATTGACTCAAGAAGACATAGAAACATGAATAGTCCTATAACAATTAAAAACATTGAATGAATAGTATATCAGTCAGGGTCTACTCAGGAAATAAAAAACACACCAGTTATTTGAGCAGAGAGAATTTAGTCGAAAGAATTGTTAACTAGGTACAAAGACATTAACTAGGTAACTGAAAGGGTAAAAGAATCATTCTGAGATTTGCAGGCAGGATGCAGCTAGAACCATTCCTAGGGGTTGGGGAAACAAAGGGATGAACTTGGAATTACTAAAATTTAGTGACTTAGAGGAGGGGTCTCACAAAGGTGAATCTCAGACCTCAAATGAGGCGGTACTGTCAGGCTGGTGCAGGTGTCCTTTAGCTTGGAGGAGGGGCCCCACAGGGTTGGAAACCAGACTTCTGACGGGGCACAGGCTGGCTCATGCTGATGTCTCTGGGGTGTACATGTCGGGTGTGATCACGCTGGTTCTGTAAAGACTTCAAACTGGACTCAGCTGCTGTTGCAGGATGAACAGCTAGGTGATTCTTAACAGGAATCAAACAGGAAGCTGATGGAAAGTAGCCAGTCCTATCTTCCTCCCTGGCCTCCTACTATTCCCCTAGCATCCCCTGCTGGCAGAATCTAACATGGCACCAGCTGACACTGGCTGAAATGTGGATTGGAGTCCCAGCTCCAGTATCACAATGCAGAGTGTAGAAGGGTGGGCTTAGAGCTGAGAGACAACAGCTTCAGAAGGGCATGGTCCACCTTGTTGGCTTCTCAGCATTCACAGTTACCATTAGACATGCATTTGACTTTCACACAACAAGAAAACAACTCTAGGTTTCCAGTTAACCTGGTGCAACAATCCTTCATGCCAAAAAATACATTCTCAGTCTCTCCCCCAAATGAGAAGATGCAAAGTCCCAACAGGCATGTTACCCTCATCTCTGGGTAATGTTAACAACCCCTCAAATCAAGTCACAGTCCCATCTGAATACCGTTACCTAAATATGAAATTGGAAAGTTAACCTCCAACAAAAGTTACGTAAAATAGTAATAGGAAAGGGGAAGGAGAAGAAAAAATACACATATACACCATACAGCAAGCAAGGAAGAAAATACTCACAATTGATGGTCTTTGTTTCTGTAACAGGTCATGAGGCTGTAGTTGACATTTGTAATTCCTTCTTCTATTGCCCATTCTGCATATCCTTTGCTTTCAACTGTTTAGGGTTCTTTAGCTGATGGAATGACCTAAATCTTCATTCTTGAAGTCTCTGAATTCTCAGTGGTCGTGACCTTTTGATTTCTGTCATTTTCCATTAATTTTTACGATTGGACGTGAAGTATTAAGGGGCATCCCGGGACATCCTCTAGGTTTCAGATCTCACTCTCCCTGACTCCACTGTGTAGCAGCAAACCAATTTCTCCTCGTAATCAAGATCAATTAGCCTTGGGGCCACATGGAACCCTTTCTTGGTTTAATGGCAGGAAGACCAAAATGGCTGGTAGTAGCTCCCACTTCCAGTTGAGTGGAATTTAATTTAATACAACTCTAGTTGTATCCTCTAGTGGAAGCACATCTCTCTTGGGAACCACAGCCTCCAAACCCACAGAGCTCAGAGTTGTCGGGATGGGAAGCAAAAATTCTGCAAGCAGGTTATGAGGTATACGAGTGAGAGGACCCAATCCTACTTCTATCCCTTAATTCCTGGACTCATTTTTTCTGGTGAGGAGAGAGAAGGCACCGTATATCAGTTTCTAACCCAAAGAATAAACTGCATCCTATAAGATAGACTCTTTTCAAGTTGCTCTTTCTGCCTGGAAGCCTGGGAAGTTTTCTCTTTTTCCTTTAAGATCATGCATTTCACCGGGATGTACCCTCACGTGTGACTTTCTCAACCCAAATAGAACTCAGTGAGCCTTTAAATCAGTTGGTAGGTATATCTTCCCCCGCTCAAGAAAAATGTCTTCTAGGATTTAATGATGACTTCTTCCCCATCTGTTCACATTTGTCTCCATCTGGAACAGCTATTATTTGTCCATCAGATCTCTCGGTTTTGTGCACCAAGTCTCTTTTCCCTCATAAATTATATTTTTGGGGGATGATCTTTCTTCATATTTTCGAGATATTTCCTGTATGTCATCTTCAGGTTGCTAATTAGGTATCAATAATCTTCAATTTGCCTGACAAATTTTTTAGTTGAAAATCATGTTTTATGCTCCAAGAAGTTTTGTAAGTGTGTGTAATTTAAAAAAGGAGAGCCATTTGGATTTTGGATATCATTTTTAAAATCAAGCAGTTCTATTTTGCTAGGTATATGAGTTCCCTACTGCTATGATAGCAGATTACCGTGGATTTAGTGGGTTAAATCAACATGAATTTGCTATCTTACCGGTCCTGGGGGTCAGAAGTCCAAAACCAGTTTCACTGGGGCAAAATCAAGGTGTCAGCAAGGCTGGTTCCTTCTGGAGGCTCTAAAGGGAGAATCTATTTCCTTGCCTTTTCCAGATTCTCAAGGTCATCTGCTTTCCTCAGCTCACAGCCCCTTCCTCCATCCTCAAAGCATATCACTCTAACTTCTGGTGCTGTTGCCACATCTCCTTTTTCTGACTCTGACCCTCTTGCCTCCCTCTTGTAAGGACCTTTGTGATTTTATTGGGCCTACCTGGATAATCTAGGCTAATCTCCCACCTTAATATCCTCAGCTTAATCACATCTGCGAAATCCCTTCTACTATATAAGGTAACATATTCATAGGTTCTGAGATTAGGACATGGACATCTTTCAGCATGTGTTCTAATTGTTTATCTCAATCTTCCTTCCTCTGGCAGCAGGGATGCCTCAATCATCTTCCTTGGTCAACCTGTTGGAATATCCTCAAAGGCAGGAGTTCGGCAAATGGTGAAAGGCAGAGGAGTCGCACACCGTGTGTGCCAGTTCAAGGGGGGCATCTATCAGTAACCCCCATCCCAGGAATCCCCCAGGAAACCGTTCTGCAGTGTCTCCCAGCCTTAAGTCAGTGCAGGCATCCAGGTCTTTGAATTTTCCCCATTTCCAAGATTACTTAATCTGTAGTGACTTCAAGTGCTGATTTCGTTGGCTTCCTTTCTCAGCAGTCTAGATTTCTTTGTAGGTTTTGGGAATTTGGGTCTGCAGACTTATTTTGAGAGGAAGCTGTTTTGTTTCTGTTTCTCTGCCTTTTCCCCCACCTCTCTCCCTCCCAATTGCCCTCTCTGACAGCATCTTTCAGTCGCTGGGTCTTTGAGCCCTAATCTTGATCCCTCGTCACAGCAGTAGCTCAGGTGGTTACTGTTCTGTTGTTACACTGGGCGATGACTGATCTAATTACAGAGCAGTGGGAGGTTGGCACAGCCCCTGGTCACAAGGTTTCTATTTCCCTCCTTTCCTCCCACCCCAGCTTCCAGTTCTTCTTTTCACAAACAGGGGACAATCCAGCCAAGATCCAAGACTTCGAAAAGTGAGCCTGGACCCTGTCCTCATTTTGTGAGCAGTCCTTGGGGACAAAAAGAAATTGGCTGGATTTCCCTCCAGGCACACTCTAAGCATCGTCAGTTTTTCTCTTCTCCATCTATTTTGAGTCTTTCAGGTTATTTTCTTCTCTATGATTTCTTTTCTTTTCTTAATTATGTTTTTCCCCCTTTTTGTGTTTTATGATCATCTTGGTAGAGTTTACACAGGAGTATGAACTGAGTACACGTGGTCACCTCAACTGCCAGTCTGTACAATCATTTAAAACTCTGTTCTTCAGTCTACATAGATTTTGGTTAAGAAAACACTGGATGGATAATTGATTTAGAGACTTTTCTATACGAAGGATTAAAGTTTTCACTAGCAGATTTAACAGGGGTGGAAGGACAGGTAGGAATCAAAGCTGAGTTCACACTGCTAGCCTAAGGTACCGGAGTTTAAGAATCCAGGATGGCGAAGCAGATTTTGGAGGCAAAGACAGAGAGGTGAGATCTGAGGCTTGAGACAGAAGGAACGGAGGACAGAGAGAGAGAGAGTGGAGTGGCCCAGACTTCGTGCTTTTCAAGGCCTGCAGTGAGGGGGTAGGAAGAGGAAGGAATGTGTTAGTCAAGGAGTTCTGCTATGAGAGGCATAGCTCTAAAGGCGGAGTCTCAGGGAGGGAAAGCTCACCTCCTGGGTGCCGCAGACAGGCCAGTAGAAAAGGCTCAGCCCTGTACTGGGCTCGGCTCTGGGTGTCCCTTGCTGGGGCACTCCTCCATGAACTTCTGCACCTGAAAGTCACTGACTAACGTGAATGGAGGCTTAAAGCAGAAAAGCACTGTGACTTGGCTTGGCTTAGGAGTTGCTCTTAGGCAAATCCACAAATGCCCCATCCCTTTACATCTGCTTAGCCCAGAAGCTGACAGTTGGAGCTCACCTTTCCCCATGCATAGGTCCAAATGGAAAGTAGTTCTGAGTATTTTTGGTTTTCAGAGCCATCTTCCAGCCCCCGAGAGGAGGGTTGTCATAATTCACAGCACAAGTGCTGGTGTAGATCCACGTACTCCAGCAACAGGAGCCAAACCTATGAGGGGCAAGGAGGTTCTGCCATCAGACGGGCTCTTGTATGGGCGCAGTGAGGCCCTGGGCGATTAGGACTCACCTGTCTGGACCAGGTGGAGCCCATGTGGAGCTGTTCGTGGTCCTGAATCACAGCTGCTAGTCTCTGTTGCACTGTTACTCTACTTTCTACTGGGGCAGTGGTGACCCCTGTTCAGTCTCTTTCAGGAGTTGGGAATCAAGTGAGTGAGGATGTAAGAGATAGAGAGAAGAGAGAAAAACAGAGTCCTTCGGAGAATCCTGCTGTTGAGACATTTCCAGGGAGAAGAAAATGGGACTATTACTTGTGATCGGCATTTACAAAGTTTTACAGTCACCAAGACCTCTGGGAAGTTAGGAAGCACATGATCCCACCATTTCCCTTTGATGGTAAATTTATATGTGAAGGCAGAGACACAGGACTGTGAATTTCTGGAGTTTGGGGTTCATGCTGGATTCCCTTATCACCTTCCAGTGTATATGGCAGGTGTTCAATAGGTGTTGAATTGATAAGAAGTTAAGAGAAAGAGTGTGGATTAGGTACTCAGAATCAGTTTTGCTTTCATCCCTGCCCAGCAAAGGGGCTAACATTTGACATTCAATTGTTTCAGCCATTTGATATTAGGTTCATTAGTTTGATCGTCATGAGAAATTCATTACAAATTTCCCAGTCAATAATCAGTCTCATAAGGCAAGCCTCCTGAGTGAGATCTCATTGCTCCCATGAGGTGAGTCCAGGGCTCAAATTCAGGTCTTGCTGACCCCAAAGGCCATGGTTTTCCCATCATCATTGGCTACTTTCTTCTTATGCAAGGAGAGAGACATAAATACCACAAGGGGAAAATGGGCTTGTAGTCTGTACAGGTATCTAGTTTAATGTCTGGAGATCATGTTAAAAGGTTAGGAAGCTGGTTTTGTGATGGCAACTATTGCCGATCAGGGTTTGGGGCCAGGAGCTTAGGTCTAGGGTTGGGGGTCAGGGAGAGGATGGTCTCAACCCAAGGCCCAGGGGTTTTCCCCATCTCAGTGCCTCATGCATGTTCCAGCTTCAGACAGCAAAAGTAATGAGTAACTTCCAATGACAGAGGAAGTCACTAGGAGAGCCAATAAAGACACAACAGATCTGGCAGGGGAACAAATACAGCTCAGGTGAGGTGCTAGGAGGCTTGGTCTAAGCTACACCAGGTGCTTTTCTCCAGCTCCTGGATAAATCAGCCTGGCAGTCACCCAGACTTTAGTCAGATCCAGAGGTGCAGCCAGCTCTGGATCCGCATCAGGCTAGCTCTCTCCTCGTGTCATCAGGGAACGGAGTTTTTTCTAGTCTACAGGGAGCTTATCCTGATTCCACGTGGTCCACCTGAGTGCTGCCCTTCACTAACTGGGCAGCATAGCCCTACAAACTGCCTTCAAAAGGTATACTTAGAGGAGGATGCCAGAATGCCTTTCAAAGGATCTGTAGACATGCGTTGAAGTACTTACAGAGCCAGTGTCCCCTTTGCTGCAATCTTCCCTCCTCCCCCACCCTGTGGGCCCCCGCAGGCTTCCATGGCTAACTGGAAACCCGATGCAAGCTGAACCAATCAGATTCTCTCTTCTGTAGACTTAGACTTATGAGACAGTGCTTCTCCTAGGTTAGCTTTGGCTGCTGGACCTGGAAGGTCAGGGAGTCCTGGGACTGGGGGGCATTTTGGGACAGGCATGATAGCTCTTGTGCAAAAAGAGAAGCCAGACTGATGAGGGAAGAAACGAAGGAACAGCAGAAGGAAAAGCAGAAACAGAGAGGATGAGGGAGAGAGAGGTGCTGCCTCGAGGGCAGCCTGCAAGCTTTGTGGGGCTGGTGCCCAGTCAGCATAGAGGTCAGAACAATGGCACAGCATAAACTCTGGCCTGACGCTTCCAGCTCTCTCCCTGCCACTTACTGACTCCATTTCCTATGAGGGGAACGGATGAAGGAGAGTTTTATTGGGGGTATGAATTTGTAATAGTCATTCAAGCATTTGCTATTTAGGAGAACGTAGAATTGCAAAGCATATTCATTAGGTATTAGGTCCTTGAAGCATCCTCTTAAGGCATGTTCCTCCAAGTTTTCACACCACGGATCACCAATTTACATCAAAAAAAAAGGCAAAGTGTCATCAATGATTTTAAATTACAAGACGAAACAGTATTTTAAACGTTAAGAATAATTTCGTACTAGTAAGATGGCCCTCCTGCCCTCCCTGCTGTTCTTTGCGGGCCTTTTGCCTTTAGACCGGGGGTGGAGCAATCAGTGGGTTCCACCCCCGGCCACACTGTGATCGGTTCAGAAGTGGACATGTGACCTAAGCCTTTCCAATCAGTGTGAGTCTCAGGACTTCTGGGAACTGGGGGGGCCACAGCTACTCTCTGCGGGTCTGAGTGTTGGGGTGAACGTGAGGGACTTGGTGCTGCCAGAACCATTTTCCATCACAGTGAGGGGCGGAGGGGGGGGACAGTCAGAAAAGACGCCAAGGAGGAGGACAGAGCCAAGGCACATGCAGTGAAATGGAGCCAGCTCTCTGGCATCACAAACGATATAATTAGTTCCATTTATTGTTTAATCCATTTGGATTTAGGTTTCTGTCGTCCCTGACTGAGTGTACACTGACCCGTATACTACCTGCTTTTTTTTCTCTCACCGCTTGCTAAAAAGATATGCATTTACCTTTACCAGGATTTGATTTTTGTTTTTGTTGTTTTATCTCCCTTTAATCCTGAATCAGATGCATTTTGTTGACCATTAACTCTTTTCTGTGAATAAGGCAGCATGTAAAAGAGCAAACTCTTTTTATTCACAGAGCAGAACCCTTGCTTACGACGGCCGTGGCTGCTTCAACTCTGGCACCCATCCCAAAATACCATTTCTAGCACATGACTCACAAAGTAAATAGTCTATAATTGAGAAGCCTCTTATCATTATTTTGGCACCACCAACAAAATGACAAGCCAGGCAGCATTTTTCCTTCACATTTGAACCCTGTATATGCCAAGGTCTTGCTTCATATCCCACACGTGGGCAGGTTTGGCTTGCTGAAAAGGGGAGTATCTGCTAGTATGTGTATGCACTAATTGCTTTTCTACTTTGTGTATTCTTGAGGTTGTGTAATGTCCAACAGTGTTATCTGATAAAGGAGTTTTGTCAATGGTTCCTTTGGCCCTCTCCAAGCAGAGTCTTTATCACTATTTTTGCAGCTGGTTTACAGCCTTCTTGGTAATTGTGTGACTGACTTTTATGTGCATTTTTTTAAAGAGAGCAGCAGCTTAGAACCATGCCTCTGTAGCTTTGGTCTCCTCTGCACTTTTAGCAACAAGGAAAATTAATCGCACGTTAGAAAGCATTATTTTGTATTTGTTCTCGAAAAACTGGATTGGTCACTTTAGGGGAAGATAATGGAGCCCTTTTTTATGGCTCCAGACTGCTATTTATCAAAGTTTTAATTTTAATGGTAACATATGGAGGACTAGGGGCAACGGACAGCTGGTCCAGTAAATGAAATTTGCAAATATTTTTCACTCAACTTACATTCACAGTTTTCATTTTTGGCTACATGTGTAAAATCATCACCCAAGAACCTATCCTAGAATATGCAGTTTCATATCTCATAGATTCACTTGAGAACTATTTGTTCATTAAGCTTACCGTGTTCTTCTGAGGATGGTTCTGCCATTTTCATCATTACTTTACCTTTGAAGAACCTCTTTCAAACCACTGATCCATTTCGGTGAACTGGAGATAAAAACAACCTCACAGTGACCACAAAAATTCATAAATAGCAAACAACTTACAAGCAAGAAGCCCTATGCCAGTCTGACTCTTGTTACTTTCTAGGCAATACATCACTTCTAACTGGTAGCTTTTAAGATTCTATTTTTATTCCTGGTGTTCTGAAGCTTCACAGTGGCATTTTTTGGTGCATTGTGTGAGAGGGCAAGAGAGAAGGTGGTGGTGGTGGAGGCAGCTGGGTGAGAGCAGGCAGGTCTTTGAAAAATATATCAGAACTGTGAGACCATTAGTACTTTGTCTTAAGTCTCTTCCCTTCAGTTCTCACCTTTCTCTGCAAGCTTTTTGCTGTTTTATTGGCCAGGAGGTGGCTGGTAGGTAAGGTGTGTAAGGACCACATCAGGTAGGCGCATGCTCTGTGCTATGCCGACTCATACCTGTGCTGAGCTGGGACAACGATGCCAACTTCTGCCAGGTTGTGGCCCTCGGTCCTTTTACATGGAACTAGGATAGAAAAATAACCTAGATGTAGTAACCTATAATGGAAAAAAATATGAAAACAAATGCATGTATGTATATGTATGACTGAAATATTATGCCGTACACCAGAAGTAGACACATTATAAACTGACTACACTTAAATTAAAAAAAAAGAAAGATAACCTAGAAATAAGACAAATGTAGCCTCTTTCTAATGATCGTATCGCTTTTCCTTTCCTTGTTTTATTTACTGGCTCAGATCTTCACAAAGAAGATGGCTAAGCACGGTGATATGGTGATGGGATGGCCATCAGGGCTACTTCAGAACATTCCCATTATCCTTCCCCCGGTCCGTGGTGAGGTTCCACTTTCCCACACCTTTGAGGTTAAACGTGAGAGTGTGGTTTGCTTTGGTCAACGAAATGAGAGCAAAAGTGACACATCAGTTCCATCCAGGCAGAAACTTTAAGAGCTGGAGAGTAATGTGCATTGTCTCTGTCAGGTTGCTGAGCGATCAGGTGGAGGCTCGGTGGCATCAGCCTGCATCGCGGAGGCTGGCGAGGACTACAGGATAGACTGTCCCCTACCCTTTACCGTGCCCGGTGAACTTAAGCAAGAAAAAGACTTTTCATTGATTTAAGCCACTGAGACTTCGAGGACTCATTGCCCCTGCAGCATAACTAGCCCCTTCTGACCCAAACATGTGGGTGCACATCTAAACAAAAAGCATGGATCCCTTTGCCAGATTCGCTTTCCGAAAGCTTACCCTGACCGGCACCCCGCAGAGTCCACGTGCGTGCCTGCCCTCCTCCGCCGATTCCCCAAGGCCTCCTTTTTTTTTTTTTTTAACAGAAGACACCCGTGTATTTTCAAGCTTTAATTATCCTAATCGCCATTCTTTCATTTTCTGTTCGTCAATCACACACCCAAAATCAGGGAGATTCTCAGTAGACCACTCTATTGGTATGGATTTTCAACAAGCAAGACTAGTCCTAACAGCATTTTTTAACAAAACTGAAGCTAATGTTGGGTCTCCCATGGTAAATAAAATACAAGGACTTACGCAATATTCAGAGATTTCCGGTGCGCGGCGCTGCTGCGCAGTTGGCCGAGTCTCTCGTGGCGCGAGCTTGGCTCTACCTGCGTGGCGATGGGAGTGTCACGGGGCGCCGGGAGGGCGGCGGCGTGGGGGGCCGGCTGCAGCCCGGGCTCATGGGAGAGCGGCGGAAGCCCACCTCCGCCCCTCGCACCCCAGGGACCCGCCCTGCCACCCTCCTCGCGGTCCGCGCCCCTGACTCGCCATCGCCCCCTTCGGGCAGCGACCGGAGCAGCAGCGCACTGGGTACCCGTCACCGCACCCAGGCCAGCGACCGAGCCGCTGGAGGGAGGATGGAGCGGCAGCAAGAGCCTGGCTGTGCCCTCGGAAGGCAGGTTTTCAGAGTCTGGAGTCAAAGGAAAATTAGGGAATGCACGGACAGATTTGAACAGCACCAAGACTCCAAGACTTCAAAAATAGGATTGTTGCTAATACTGAGCGCTGTTACACTGCAGGGAAATAGGGGCTGCTCTTTTGAAAACGAGATCTTGTGCGATAAATGCAGCGCAGGACATATATTTATGTTCTTACCTTCACTGAAATATTATAAGATTCGGGGGATTCTGTGACTATGCCAAGGAGGAGAATGATCGCATGTGGAAGATGCAAACACGGTTCTCTAACGTCATAAATCTGGAAAGCGAGAACCGGGGTTGTTTTCCAGCGATGCAAATGCCACGCCCCTTCCGTCCAGACCACTTGTTTGTGACTCTGCACAGACCTCTGGGTCACCGCGAGTGTAAGGGAGGAGTACTGACACCGTGAACAGTCTCAGCCGAGGGAAGCGGCTTAACATCTGAATGACACTTGCAAACTGAATTTGCCGTGTAGGGTTTTCAAACAATTTGCCCGTTTCCCACATGCTTTGAAACCCTCTTTAAAAACTCGTGTGAAATATTTAAATAGGTCCAAATCATGTTGATTGAAAAAATGCTTACATGCCTTAATTGTCCCCCCCCCCCCGCTCTCCACTTTATGTTTGGTTGTCATTTTGTTCACAGCATTCAATTTTGGGGGGTCCATTTGACATCAGTCTGTGGTTTGTTTCCTAGTGGTCGCTTCAAGTCAGATCCACATACTTCTGGCTACATCCACCCCGACCCCCAGCCTGTTTTCTCTTTCACTGTGTTAATGTATTCAGCAACTCCTGCTGTGGCAGGAACTGGTGAAACTGCTCGTTCTTGGGCCTCAAGAAATCTTACATCTATTCCAAAACTTGTTTCGTAGGATCACTGTCTTAATTTCTAGATTTCAGATTTGGGCTAGTGTTGTATCGTCCAGTATTTATTTTGACAAGTGGTTTCAGTTGCTCTTTTCAGGAATCTGTCAACTCATTTGCCTCAATTTTCACAACTAGTATTTTTTCACTAAGCTACCTCCTATGACCATTTCCTCTAAAAACTCAAAAGTAAGTTAACACAAAGCATAACTCTATAGAGCTGGGGACTTTCAGAGAGGTATTGTTTTAAAAAAAAGGCCGTTGTCATCAGAAGATGTATTCACTCTTTGTTGTCACTGTTGTTGCATGACTAGTTGACGGTGACTTTTGTAAGGTGAGAGTCAGTTACAGATCTATCAAATTGCAGAGAGGTCCCTTAGATTGCCCCACCTTCTTGAGGTTCTTGATAGATACTACCTCTCCCGTAACTAATTTAGGGGGCACTGTAATGTGCTTTGAAATAAGGATTTTTTGTCTTCTCTCTACCTTTATACTTAACTTGAAAGCTAGAATCCTATGCAAAATACACAGATACCTTTTCTGAAATCCCAACCCCCCCACACTTCCCCCAACCAGGCTAGAAATGAGGTGGGAGGAAAGTCCTTTGAGTAAAGTGTGGGATGGGAGAGTGAGAAGGACCACTCTGTAGGAGATTAAACTTTCTGTGAATATTGTAACTGGTACATAGTGAGTAAAAAGGAGAAAATAAATATGGTTAAAATATTTTGCTCTACAAGTTGTTAACCTTTCAAAAATATAATTGCTACTAAACACTGAGCACTGTTGTTACACTAAAGGAAAACTGGTGTCACGGGTTTAGATCTTGTGCCTTAAATGTAGCTGAACTAAGTATGAACTTTACTTTATGAATTAATGCTCTTAAAGAAATGAGTAAACTTTTAATAACCACAGACATAGTTTCATTCTAAATCATATAGTGTGATCAAATATGATCATCCAGAAGTCTGCTATGTTTCTTTGTACAGAAAGTGATGTGTTCTGGGTGTTGTATTTTGTGTTTTGTGTTTTTTTTTAAAAGCAAACATTTAAAATCCCACAAATTGACCTTTCCTATTAATTTTTAATGGACCAAGATTTTTTTCCCCCAGTAATCCCTCAAATTTCTTTAAGATATATACCCACAGCACAGCAGAGAATCTAGATTGTCTTTGTATGTAAGACTGCTTCCACCTGAAATACTGTCATAAGCAGTATTTGAACTTGGGGTTCATCTGGTACATGATATTCTTAGAGGTAGTAATACATAATCCTGTTTTATATACTCTTGAGCTCTTCATTTGACATACAAAATATACATAGTATTGATGTTAACCATTTCTCAAAAATTAAAATTTGTTATAAAATAGTCTTCGGTCATTTGGACTAAGTAGTGTCACTTGGGTCAGGATTTTTCTTTTTTCAATTCCATGTAACAAACAACTGGCTTGAATCTATGCAGCTTGCAAAATTCCTGAGTCTTCTATTTGTATGAGCAACAGAAGAAGTTATAGCTGTCACATTTTGAATTTGTGGTTCTTGTTCACTGTACTTCTGGAGCCCAGTCTAGCAAAGTTAGACCCCAAACAGATTTGTTTTTCTTAAGAGAATAAACCAAAAATTTCAGGCTTAAAGAGTCAACACTGCTATAAACTAGCTCGAGCCTCCAAAATTTGCAGTGTTGGGACTGTCATTTGTGTTTTTTGCATGGTGGCTGAATGAAATTGGACGGCTAACTTTGCAATCCTAAGGTCCTTTCAAATGAAAAAAAAAAGCAGGACAGAATTTGTTATTGTAAATTAAGATTTGCAGACACGAAGTAGAAACTGACATATTTTGTAAACAGGTAACATTTTGCCACTGGAGGGGAAGAGGGTATGGAGAGTTAGTGTTTAACGAGTACAGAGTTTCAGTTTGGGAAGATGAAGACATTGTAGAGGTGGTTGGTGGTGTTGGTTGCACAACTACGAGGATGTATTTAAGACCACTGATTTGTCCGCTTAAAAATGGTAAATTTTATGTTATGTATATTTCCCCACATTTTAAAAAAAAAGTCCTCTGTGTCCTGGCTTCGCTGCCAGCTCAGCCCTATCCCACCCTTCTTGGCCCTAAGGTCACCTACTAGCAGCATCAGTGAGCTGAGTGCTGACCACACTCCTCCCGCTCCCTGCTTCCACTTGCTTCCCCATCTTCACTCTGCTCTGCTCCTTGTCTGCAGTGCCTTCCTCTTCTCCTTTGCCTGGTTCATTCCTGGGCCCCTACCCTCCCTCATCTTTCTGAACTAGGAAGTGGACATTCAGGAATCACAGCCTTATGAAAATCAGCCTTGGGAGTCCATTAGGGATCTAAGTGCTCCTTCCTCTGTCCTTTTTATCTGCAGTTAAGTAGCAGGTGAGTCAGAGGGTACCCAGGGAGGTTCTGGGACCCCTGGAATTCTTGGCATTTACCTTGGGCCTGTGTGGCCACAGCAGCTGCGATACAAACTTCCCCTTGGCTCCCAAGCCTCACACCCTGCCTGCCCACTCCCCTCCCCAGCACTTCCAGTGGAGAGGGGGCGAGGCGCAAGCTGCCGAGGTGTCAGGGTCTTGGGAGGTCTTGGTGATCTTGAAGGAGGTTATAGACTGAATGTTTGTTTCTCTAAAATTCGTACATTGAAACCCTACCCCCGCCCCTGCCCCCTACGTTATGGTGTTAGGAGGCTGAGTCTTTGGGAGATAATTAAGGTTAAATGAGGTCATGAGGGTTAGTGCCCTTGAAAGAATCACCAGAGAGCTTGCTTACCCTCTACTCTCTGCCACGTGGGGATATGAGAAGTCAGCTTTCTCCAACCCAGAAGAGTCTTACCCAACAACGCTGGCACCTTGAGCTCAGACTTCCAGCTTCCAGAACTGTGAGAAATAAATTTATGTTGTTTATAAGCCATCCAGTCAATGGTATTTTGTTATAGCAGACCAGACAGATTATAACAAGGGAAAACCATGCCATCTTGGGGTGTGGAGTTTAAAGAATTTAGAACCATGAAGCATAGAATTTGGTGCTAAGCCACGCCTGTCTCTTCTCCTGGATTCCCGCAAAATTGGACTTTTGCTGACACCGGGTTTTGAAGGGGCCAGGCGCCAGCGAGGCTGGGCTGATGTCACCTCTCTGTTGCTGCAGCCAGAAGCACAGGTTGGTAACACTCTGTCCACAGGCCTTGAGGTGTTAAAAGTGGAAACAAAACTCACCTTGATAGAAAAGATCCGAAGAGGTAATAAAAAGGGAAGCACTGTCTGTAGGTGAACATGGCTTCTGTTCTTCAACTTCTGGCTCAGAGGGAGGGTGGGTGGCCCGGGCTGTGCTGGAGAAGACCTAGGGAGAGGCCAGGAGGAAAGGAGGGGCTCTCTTGGGAAGGGACCAACTTCACCCACCAGGAAGCCCTGGGAAGCAGAGAAAAGATGACACTGCCTGGAGAGGGGCAAGGGGACCTGAGCCTCACCTTGGACTCATCCCTCTACATAACCCCTACTTTCCCTTCTTTGCAACTTCCTGCTCCCTGCCTCTCCTCACACAAGGGACGAGGCCACGAGGGCAGGGTCAGGGGTGGACATGCTAATGTGCAACGCTCTCCAGAGCCCAGACTGGGTTTTACTGAAAACCCTTCGCTGGGACAACCAACAAACCCTGACTCATCATCATTTTGGGTCCAGTTTTTAGGGGTTCATCTCCTACCACCTTGTCTTCTTTCACTGTGTTGTTTTGTTTTTCTTTACAAAACCTGGGAACAGGAGTGAGGTTTATCCTGTCACACTAGGTGAAACAGTGCTTTGCTGTTCTGTTTCCGATGTGGGGCTCTGACAGTTGGCTCTGGTCCAGAATTCCTTCTCCCAGCCATGTATTTACAGGCGGTATTCGATGCCCTGGTGGACTTTGGCCTTGGCAGCCTAAACCTGGCTCTCCCTATCTCTGTCAGCCTGGAACCTTTTCTTCTGCAGTGGCTTTATTAGCATTTCATGATTCATGAAGTACTTGCTTAATGAAACAAGTAACACAGCGATATCTCATGGGAAAGTTTAGAGTCTCTCTTAACACCAATCTTCCTCCAACACTCTCTAATCTCCCTCTTCTGCATAGGAAAAAATAATTTGTGTTTCATTTTTCCATAATAATGGAATAATTTAATAAACAAATTATTCATTTGTTTTTTCATTCCTTCTTTTGACTAATATTAGCTGAGCACCTCCTATAAGGTAGGCTTGGTCCGAGGCGCTGGGGGTACAAACTTGAGTAAGGTGCAGGGGGCTCCAAACCTCAAGGGATTATGTCACGGTGGAGGAAGACAGAAAGGAAATAAGAAAACACGGGAATGGGTAAGATAATTCCAGGTCAAGGCAGTTGCTGGGGGCAGATGACCAGAATGCTATAATAGACTAGCAG